GGACCAGAAGACTGGGTCAAACCTGGTAGCTGTCTGGCGGAAGTCTGTGGACTAGAGGGTCACGTTTGTGGAAGTCTAGACTGTGTGAAAACCCTGGAGAAACAACACAAGCAGTTGACAGTATTGTTTGGAAATGTAGTGATGAAAGCAAGAACGGAAACGGAACTGATAGCAGATTGCCATGGAGGAACCGATGTGAATCTAGTGACAGCACTAGGATTCTACAGCATGTGTGGTTCTTTAGAGTCACTATTGAATCTAGAACAGAAACATGAGATGGTCACAGCCATCAGCGTAGAAGTATTCCCAGGAGTTCTGCAGACTGAGCAGAAGTATATAGGAAAATGGAGGGAAGCAATCGAAACAGAGATGAACATCAGACACAGCGAAACTTATTGTAGACCATCAGGAGCACAATATTTGGTGGGTTCAACGTTGGCTCCAATGTGCAAGAGCAGATACCCTGTACATTTCGTGGCTGTGGAACGATCGTGGATCAAGCTTTCTCAGTGCCAAAGTGCGTGAGATTGGCGAGAATGTCTGAAAGGTCTTACGAGTTACTATGTAAGATGTTCTCAGCAGTTCCAGAGAGAACCAAAGAGGAGTTGGAGTTAATACTAGGAAAGAAGTTCATGGGATATGTGAGCGGGAACTTCAGTGACTTTGAAAAACAGAAACAGAGAGGATCAACTGTCACAGATTACAATGCAGTAGATGAGAATGATGAGATCCACCGAGTGATGATGGAAGTGGAACCATTGCTGGAAGCTTCGGGAAAACGGAATTGGAGGAGCATCATGTTGACACATGACGAGTTTCCTTGCCACTGCTTGCTGCAGACCTGGTGGTATCCCAAGCGTAGTAATTTGGTGTTGATCTGGGACTCTGGAGAGCTGCTCTCCATGGGTTTACCAGATTCATCACAGCCCATAACAATAGTGATAGTGGGAGTTATGATGGCGATACGATGGCTGGAAGCTCATGTGAGAGAAAATAATAGACAGGAGGCACCGACGAGAGAACAATTGCAGAAATTAGATTGTCTAAAAGATTTAGATCTTTTTGAGACAATGTGCAAAGTTCTAAACATTCCGATGGAAGTGAAGAAGATATGGGCAAGAAAACGATTGATGCCATGGTTCAGAGCTAACATGACTGCATGGTTGTACGAGTATGCGAAAAAGCATATGTCGAAACATGGCAGAGTGTACAGTGAATATCAGCTGGACATTGGGGCAGGAGCTTTCAAGCGAGCTTTCGTGACCCATCGGAATGCAGTGACCACCGCTGTGAAAAGAATTTCCAGGACGAGCGAGCGTAGTGGAAATGAGAAGGCAGAGATGCTGAAAGAAGATTTGGAGAGAAACGTGACGTTGTGTCTCCACAACAGCTTCTGTAGAAACAGAGAATCAAACGTGGATCCCCTACCTTGCTGTAAACAGAGGGTGGAAGAGCAGAAGTGTTGGAGGACGGCTTCCAACAGCGTCAGGATAGTCAATGACGTGCTACAAGACACGGAAACCGAGAGTGCGGAGTCAGTGTCACAGGAGGAGGAAATGGAGCATTGACGAATGGTCGAGAAAACAAGAGGCAGCAAGAAAGAAAATTAGAAGAATTTAGAAGTTTTAGAACTTCTAAACGACGAAAAAAGAAGAGAACAAAGGGATGATGAAGAAAAGTTAAAACTCAGAATTGTTTTATGTGTGTGAAAAACTCAAGTGAGAAACCAAGCAACTAAGTTGTAATTGAAAACTGAAACATTTAGTTGAGTTTTGAAATTGTTGCATTTATAAATTTGCATTTTGGTTTTAGTTGAAGTGGCTTTAGAGACACTCACTTATTATTTATTTAGAAAGGCTTGAGGGAAGAGTATATTTAAATATTCCAGCCTGCATGATTGTTTTTAATCACTTAGGAAGACTGATCACTTTGTGGTGACATGAAAAACTTGAGTAACTTCTTGAGGAGGGAGGTTGTTGCATTGTTCTTTCTAACCACAAGGTCTCTTGGTTTTAATATTCAGGACAATAAACAAGCAAGATTTCCGAAGGGAAGGAGCATAGTAGGATAATTTTAGCTTGTTGGTTGGCAGGACTGTCCTGCAAGCCAACACCTTTTAAATCTAAGAGAAAAAGTTTCAATCGGGACATTGACACTGGAAGTCAGAAAATATGTTTTATCTTAAGTCATATCCTCAATGTGCAGATTAATGAAAGAATTTGAAGGCTATAGTGATGTAGTATGATGCCATTTATATTCTGCAGTGAGTCGATGTGACGTAGATAAAAGTAATTTCGTGCATTTTGTAAATTCTGTTCGATGACACTGTAACTATTTAGAACATTGCGCGATTCAATGAGGACATTGACCGGACTGTCCGGGGAGTATGTGACATTCGACCAGAATGGCCAAAATGCAATTTATGCAGGATTCGAATTTTGAGCAGTAAGCCTTCCGAGTTGATGATTTCGAAGGATTAGCGACGTTATTGGAACGTTTAGCCAAACGGTGAGGGCTAGAATATTCTAGTATTTTAAATTTTCAAAAATTCGAATGATGACGTCACATTTCTGAGAAATGCTGAAACGGCCATTTTAACAAAAAAGCGAGTAAAAAACAGAACAACTTTATCTGTGATTGCGAACAGAACGAAAATCGAGATTAAAGAAAAACAACAACGAACTACAATAGCAGAGAACGTTCCAAGTTGCAACTATTGTGCTGCTACAATAGTTGCAAGGCCGTTGCCAACAACGGTGAAGGGTGAGAACCAGCCTTCCGGATTGGTGTGAAATTGAACTTAAGGAGCTTGATTCACTGGATTCAAGAATCCGGAAGGGTTTCGGGACTGGAACTTTTAGCCTTTTATATAAACTTTTAGCTTCTTGTCATGTCCTGAATTGAATTTAATTAACAACTGGATTCATTTTGTTGATAAGGATGAGAAGCTAGGAGTTGGGGGAAAGGGTTGATCCATCTTCGATGGAGATGATGATTTTTATCTACTGAACAAAAACAATAGTAATATGATAAGTAGTAGCCCTGTTTTTAGGAGTGACCTCGTGGTCTGGGGATACAGAGACCCAGCCATGAGCTCACTATCTTTGCATGTAATTCAGTTAATTTGAGCGTTCTGGTCGAAGCCGGAGAGCAGTAACGTTTTTGTCGACCCGATGTAAGAAAGACCACCGAAAAGTACTGGCTTGGTAGAGACGGTGAAAAACATGCAAAGCTCTGTTTAGACGCTAGCCAGTCGTCTTAAGACTTAGTTTTGTTATCCGTCGATATGTATCTTCCGGGCGAATGTTACATTCATTTGCTCCTGCTTGACAGTTGTAAAAGATAAAAAGAGTTTCTTCAGTAGCGTTCAACTCCGTTGTTCCGCCACATCGGTAGTGGTACCAACTTTCGCAGTTGTCTCAGAGAACGCCTTTAGTTTTGACGACTCCCCCATATTGACAATTAATTTTCCCACATCTGCCGTCTGCCATATCGGGGTCGGATCTCGAGCGCTAAACAGGAGGAAACAACGCAGAAAAAGTTCGATTTCAATTAACCTCGACTTTTTCGTTAAACTTCCCGTGTGAGCACCAGTCCGTTAGACACTTACAAGCAGGGGCGTTTGTAGAAAAAAACACACCCAGAAATTAAAATAACCGGAAGGCAACTCACTGCGTAGGGGGTGCTCGCTTTCACCCCCACTTTTGTAGTCGTGCGGAGCGAGTGGTGACCCTCGTCCAGTCGGGTAGGGACTATCAGCTTTGTTGTTGATAAAGGTATGATGACCAGATCACTCACATATGTGTCCAGAATCCGGTTAGAAATTCCTTGAGTATGTATCTCTCCACGAGTATGTATTTGTTTAATACTGAACTTGCATATGCGCATCTCAAACTATTTCATAAATTTATCACAACAATTAATCGAGAAGGAGTACATCATGATCTGATCGATAGAGGCGACAAAACGCCTAAAAGATCAGAAAAAGAACAACAGAATGCGAACGCCGCTTGCGTACTCGGAACAATAAATGACAAAATAACTTTCGACGAAATTTTTTATATGTAACACTAGTATATTATAGAGAGTTGCAAAAAGTTCGGACAGACAGAATTAATTAAAAAGAGCAACTGTCTAGACATCAACGGAAATTAAAACTGAAATAAACATAACGCCGATAGTTCATAGAGCAGAGTTACGAGATCTACTTAACAATCCCCCTTTTAAGAAAGGGGAGGAGATTGTTAAGAAGATAAGATTACTTGCATCGAACTTTGGGGGGGGGGGGGGGGAGAGATCGTCAAGTAGATCCGAGTTTAGCTGAAAACCTATAAACACGGCGGGCGGCATCCGAAGCGTCGAAATGTTTTATAGTAAAATCTGGATTTCGGTATTTTAAAATTAGGCTAGCATAATCATTGGATAATCTACGATCTTGCATTTTGAATTTGGTCTCACAAAAAAATTCAAGGTTGGTCGGCTTCAGATTTTGCATGCAAAGAAGCTCCGAAAAGCACTGATTGCTCACTTTAATTAATTCTGTCTGTCCGAACTTTTTGCTACTAATTATATATTTTCTCGTGTCGAGTTGCGTGTTCTTATTGAAGAAACGTAATCCGTATCAATTTTAATTTAAGGACATCAACACTTGTTATCTTCTTTCATCATTAGCGCTTCTATATCTTGAAAGTTTCAAGGATTTTGACTGGAATACGTGATGAAGGGACTCCTGACTGTAACCTCGGTTACTATGATACTTGACCTTGTGGTTACTAATGAAAATAGGACGTAGTTCATGTATACATCAATAATAATGTACATAAGTTTTAATCGCCTCCAAGAGACCTTGGAAGCAATGTACACTCGCACACATGATGATATTTTCAATTGGCAAATAAAGTATTTCTTTTCGTTGCAGTGATTGTTTTGTATTACTGTTTTTTAAAAAGTTACATTTGGTAAAATTCACTTGTCCTCCCAAAAAAAACAATTTCAGATTTCTTGTTCAAATGTGTCGAGATTAGCAGCTGCCACAGTTTTCAACTTGGTTAGCGGAATGTTCGCTATCGGCTATGTGAATCGACCCACTCTCCCGACCACCAACTCCCGAAGTCCAGTTACTAAAAAGATACTCTCAATCAGCTGGAAAATTGATCACTTCCAAACGAGGTCAGGGATCATTCAGAGTGTCCTCTTCACTACTAACTCATTGTCTTCGGCGGGCGCTTTTTTGAGCGTAAATACAAGTAGCGAGTCTGCAAACGTGTCAGCTGACAGCCAGCCTTCAGAGATATGGTGTCTAGAGTTGGACACCAATCGATCTCCTTTTGGTTAGTTGATTACCTTCGCACATAGCAAGCATAATCAAATTGGACTATAGACTTTTTTCGGGATAACAACTAATTTAACAAAGTCATTCGAATACATTATGATGCTGCAGAGATGCTCAATTTCATGAAAGTTCAGATTTAGTTTCCAAACTGTCGGTTTAGTTTCCAAAATCTGTAGTCTACTTTGCATACGCTACTTATATAGCTATGGGTCTCTTGCTTTGGGTCTCTTTCGTTCCGCTTTTAGGTCGAGTGCCAGACGAATTGGGTCTGTGTCCCTTCGCATAACATGACGAAACCATCTTAATTGGCTGGTCTCAATCACTCTGAGAGCAGGGCAATCAATATCCAAACAGCCAGAAAGCTGCTCCGTTGGTACACGATCCGTTAGAGAGACTCCTCATTTGCACCATGCGTCGTTCAGTAGATGTGATGCGTTGTTTAGTCAACGCATTTAGTGCCCATGATTCACATGGCTACACAAGGACTGGTCTCACGCTCCGAAGATAGATTAGTCCCCGTTGGTGCAGGGAACGTCCTTGTTTGCCCAGCAGCGTGCCACGAAGTTTTCTGAGAGCCAACCAGGCTTTTCGTATCCTTTCAGTTAAAGTGACTTCCATATCACAGCTTGCATCTAAGTACTGGCCAAGATATGTGAATTTTTTTTTAGTTCCCCGAAGTCTTCAGTGCGAGACAGAGTAGCGTGAAAGGCTGCACATGAAAAGCGTTGAACAACTTCAGTGAATTTGACTATGTTTTCGCGTAGCCCAGAGCAACGTCTATGCACCCTTTTTTGCATAGAGTTAGCACCAACTCGCTTGACACAAACACTGCAGGGGTCGAGCGCTGCAATGGTCTTTAACTTCACTGGCATACTAAGAGCTTTAGTTTTTCCGACGTTCACTCTCAGACCTTTGCGCTCCAATGCTGCTTTTCAGTCGTGATGTTTCACAAGCACCTCTTCGATTGCTTCATCCCAAAGTGCAATATCATCTGCATACAGTAGCTCCATGATGTCTTTTATTCGGGCCGACTCGGTGACGTACTGCATGACTGCTATAAATAGCAGAGGGCTGAGGATACAACCTTGATTAACTCCAACTGTAACCTCAAAATCTTCAGACATTTCACCGTCCACAAGCACCGCTGTTCGTGTACTAGTAGACCTGGCCATAACTGCCTTTACTAATTGCTCTGGTATCCCTTAGTACCGCAGTGCCTCAACAATGATTGCCCGTGGGACACGGCCAAACGTCTTCTCCAAATCAATGAAGATCCAGTACCGAAAATGAAGAAAACTCAATTCATGCGACTCCTGACGAAAATTTCTGAAAAATTTACAATTGCTCTGACCACAAAGCAATCAGCATTCTACTTGAATGTCCTCACCATGAGGTAAAAGTCGCTATTGAAAACTTTCGAAGCTTCGGTAGCGTGGACTATAACGAAATCAAGAAATAAATACTAAGTGAGCCTTTCTCACCAGTATGTCACACAAACATCAATAGAATGTGCGAGGAACACCAAGACTATTTGGAAAATTTGGTAAACCAACATGTGCCCAGAAGAACGAGACGTCGCCTATCACTTCCGCCATGGATTACGCCAAGTACCTCAAACATCATGATAAAACTGCGAACACAAACTAGAATATACAAATTGAAACATACAAGCTACCGCAGAAATCTCATTCTATCTCTTGATAAAATGGTGAAAGAAGCAGAAGAGGAAGATAGATTAATTTATCAGGAAAATGCGATGTCCACTCGTAACACACATTTAATTTTCAAACGCTTTCAAGAGTCTGAAAAAATCAGAAACTCTCCCAAAGACTATGATCAAGGACGACATAGCTGTTTCCAAAGCCAAAGAAAAAGTGAACTTTTTGAATGAATTTGGTCTTTTCGCCCAAATCAAGCTTCAACCTCAGTGACATGAAGTCCGAAAACACGATATTGAGTAAGTTCAGTATCTCAAAAAGATATTGAAACCAATTTATAACAGAGCTTGACATAACAAAATCGCGGGGCCCAGATGGACTCCCACAGATTTTCTTCCAGCGAACGGCCAGTGAAATGACCACAATTGTGCATTGCGCTTTTAAAAACATCAAGAGGGCAAGGAAAATACCAGATAAATGGAAAGTTGCGGCTGTGTCGCCTATTTACAAGAAAGGTGACAAACGACTAATGGAAAACTACCGGCCGGTGTCACTCCTAAATATCATGAGTAAGCTCCTGGAAAAATGCATGTATTCAGCGCTGTACGACCATTTCATCAAATTTCTCACAAGAAGTCAGCACGGTTTTGTTAAAAACCGTTCAGTTGTTACAAACATGTTATCTTTCTTGAAAGAAATCTACGAAGCAATTGACAAGAACGCTAAAAACCATGTGATCGCATTCTATACTGACTTCTCAAAGGCATTCGACAAAGTCCCGCACTACGAACTACTACAGAAAATGAGCAACATTGGAGTTGGAGGCTGTTTCCTAGAAATAGTCTCAAACTATCTCAGCAACAGGAAACAATTTGTTCGTGCTGACAATTTCTCATCAGAAACTTTAGAAATTACAAGTTGCGTACCACAAGGATCGTTGATTGGTTCATTATTTTTTTTGCATCTTCACAAATGATCTTCCTGAAGTATTGAAATTTAGTGACCCACATATCTTTGCAGACGACCTAAAATTACTAGCAGTGAATGTAGACACAAAGGACATCCAGTAGGACCTAAAAGTGTTGAAAACTGGGTAGACAAAAACAAAATGAGTCTGGCACTGGGCAAATGTTTTAAATTCGAGTTTAGAAGAAATCAACACGAATTCCTTCTTTGTGAAACAGCAGTGGAAAGCCCGAATGTGATAAAGGACCTAGGAATACATGTGTCCAAACATTTAACATGGACAACCCATATTGACTCAAGAATGTCGAAAGCGAATAAAACGTTCTATTGCATCCGCAGAAACTTAGAATTCAAAGTCAAAATGCGCATAAAACTTGGTCTGTACAAATCCTTAATACTTCCTGTTCTAACGTATGGTCTAATTATTTACAATATCTCAAGAAACGACTTAAGGAGATAAGAAAGGTTCCAAAAGAAAGTCTTAAAATGGATCACGGGAAACGATTCTGGCGTTGTTTCTCCAGCTGAACGATTTACTGATGATGGCGAAATTCATGCTTGAAGAAAACGATCACATTAAGCTCCCGGCAAAAATTGAAAATCCAGGAAGAACGAAAGAAATTTTTAACCTAAACAAGATCAGAACTGAAAAAGCTAGAGGAGAGTTTACATTTAGGACGTGCCGTCCAATAAACTGACTAAATCAGAAAATTGAATTGCGAGGATTAAAGCGAAGATTGATACAGATGATGTGGAAGTTTTACGACGATCAATTCTCAGAATAAAACAAGTGCACATGGGTCCTCTTCTGTGACTGCAACATGTGCCGAAATAACTGGACAAATTTTTGAGAATCCCCATCCCATCAGTATCCTACTGAAAATTCACAACAACAACAACAAAGTGCAGTTTTTTGCTTTTCGCCAAATACTTCTCGCAAATTTGCCTTGTTATCAAGATCGCACCGCACCTACTGTTCCCCATACGGGGATGAATCCAAACTGTTTATCGACTATTCGGGTTAGCTTCCGATGAAAAGTTTCTAATAACATCTCAACAATCTTGAAACCATGTTCCAGTTGGTTGATGCTACGAGAAGAGTTGACAAAAGATTCCCTTTACCTTTATACCGCGAAACCAGTGAACTATGCTTCAATTCTTCGGGCAAGGTATTTTTCAGCAGAACATCATTCGCATTTTCTCTTATCATTGTCACTCTGTAGTATCCAGCAGCTTCAATCATTGCAGTGTTGACCACTGTGGGTCCGGATGCCGTGTATAGCTCGCTTCACTTGTGTCATTGAACTCTTCACCCGGTCCGCTGAATGCGGGTATTTCTTCAGCAACAAACTCGTTCTCGTCGTTCATGATAACTTTTAAATGATTTTTGTAAACTCTTCCGAGCCACTGGGCACATATGCAATTAGCCAACATTGTCTTTGAAACAATTTAGCCAATCACATCCAACTGTTCGCGTGCCCTTTGCTTCGCAATACTAAACAGGCGTTTGCTGTCTGTTTGCTCTACTGCACGCTGCGCATGTTCGCTTATTGCTTTTCTCGCAGCCGCCTTGGCGCTTCGCCTCGCTGCAATGTAGCTATCCCAGTTTTGCTGTGTTTCATCCCGACGCCAGAGCTTGAAATAGTTTTTCTTAGCAATCGTTAAACTCTACATTTCTGGATTCCACCACCACGTCTCATGAACATCTTTCTTGTTAATTGACGTATCACATACTTGTTCAGCGGTGATCTCAGCTTTTTGCTGAGGTCAGACCAGCTGCGGATCTCCAGGCTACCTATTTCTTCGTTGAGCTTTTTCTCATGCTCAAATTTTTAAGTTTGAAAGCTCGCAACCTGGGCACATGTTTCGGTTTGGTGAGCCTGCAATCCATTTCGAGATCCACCACAAGCATGTTATGCTTTGTGAAAACAGGAATGGTTTTCGTGTTTCGCGGCCTAGCATGTTTCACACTGGCAAGGATGTAGTCGATCTGCGTTTTGATTTGGCCAGTGGAAAAAGTGACTAGCTGCTCGATAGGCTTTTTGAACCAAGTATTCACGATTTGCAAGTTCTGCGCTGAAGCAAAATAGAGTAACCTGACTGCAACCCCGTTTTGTTCTCCGTACACGAAATTGCAGTGAACAGAGTCAAGTCGAAACCGGAGCTCTGACTGTCGACGTGTTCATTCAATCACCTTCACCATTGATAGCATCAACATTGTTCAATACCGTGTCAAGCTTTTCGATGAACGCGGTCTTCTCGTTTTTGGCGCACCAGTCTGTGGAGCATAAGCAGACACGACTGTGCAAATAGTCATTCCAATATTAATCTTCAATAGTATTAACCGGTCCGGTACTCGTTTCACTTAGCGAAATTTGTCAACGAGTGAGCTGGATACAGCAATAGCGACTCCGTTCGCTGCTTCTTTGCTTCCAGACCAGCACAGTTTGAAGCCTTCTCCGATATCTGAATTTCTTGACCACGCCATTTGACTTCCTGTAGACACGCAATGTCTAATTTCCTTTTGAATCCTCTGTGCAAGTTTTCAGACTGGTTACAAAAATTTACTCAAACGTTCAATTTCCATTGCATGTTTTTGAAAACGTAGAAAAAGTAGAGAATTTAATTTCTCTTAATATGTCTTCAAAATAACGCATGGCTAACGCGCTAATTCGTCAACTTTTTTTATTTACAAACTAGAGAAAATAACAATTGATAATCACGCAAAACTATTCAATTAGTCGATGTAAACAAATAAAAGTTACTTTGTATAAAGTTTTCAACAAAATTGAATATATTGCATATATTACCTATCCACTTGTAAGGTTATTTTATCCTTGTTTATCCTCTAATCAAAAACACCATAATTTCAATATTAGCAGAATCTAGTTGCAGTCGTTAGTATAGATTAAAAATTTTCGGAATTTATTTCAAAGGATTACTGAACGAAGTTTTGGACTCGATCCTTGCTTACGTTGATTTTTGCATCAATCATATTCTCTGAACATATGCATCAGTAAATTATCAAATTAACAATTTTGTTATTGTATTTGTTTATGTTTTCTGGTTTTTGACAAAATTTGTTTATTCTTTTGGATTTTTGTTTTTTTCCACAATGCAATTTTTTTATTCATAATTCATTAGTCATGCTAAATCCTTTTTTGAAGATTTTTTAACAAAAGTTTCTCATGGTTTATGTGTTTCATTTTTGTGTCGAACTTGCTCAGTGTACATTTGACCGCGTTGTTGATTGTGAATATATTTTCGACAACAAGAGTAAATAATCCTTGAATGTTTTTTTTGTTCCATTTCAATTCGCAAACATAAGTGCTCAGTTTTGGTGGAAAGAATAGCAATTTATTAGCTTGTGTTTCATCCGCTTTTTTGTTGGCGATTCATGTCATAGCAATATGAATTTATTAGCACGTGTTTTATCCGCTTTTTTGGTGACGGTTCACAAGAATGCCGAAGGGTTCACAAGAGCCGAAGTAAAAGAATGCTGAACATGATCAAGAAATCTGTTTTTGTTCTCGAAACCGCAGTGAACAGACTCAAAACCAGAGCTTTGACTGTCGACGTGTTCATTCAATCACCTTCACCATTGATAGCATCAACATTGTTCAATACCGTGTCAAGCTTTTCGATGAACGCGGTCTTCTGGTATTCGGCGCGTCCAGTCTCTGGAGCATAAGCAGACACGACAGTGAAAATAGTCAATCCAATAATAGTCTTCAATAGTATTAACCTGTCCGATACTCGTTTCACTTCAAGAAATTTGTCAACGAGTGAGCTGGATACAACAATAGCGACTCCGTTCGCTGCTTCTTTGCTTCCAGACCAGCACAGTTTGAAGCCTTCTCCGATATTCTTAGTTTCTTGACCACGCCATTTGGCTTCCTGTAGACACGCAATATCTACTTCCCTTTTGAATCCTCTATGCAAAAGTTTTCAGACTGGTTACAAAAGTTTACTCAAACGTTCTATTTCCATTGCAATTTTTTCTTGAAAACCTAGAAAAAGTAGAGAATTTCATTTATCTGAATATTCATTTCTCTCTGTCTTCAAAATAATGCATGGCTAACGCGCTAATTCGTCAATTTTTTTTATTTACAAACTAGAGAAAATAACAATTGATAATCACGCAAGACGGTTCAGTTAGTCGATGTAAACAAAAAAAAATACTTTTTATATAGTTATTAACAAAAATGAATGTATTGTATATAATGCGTATCCACTTGTAAGGTTTTTATCCATGTTTATCTTCTATTCAAAAACACCGTAATTTCAATATTAGCAGAATCTAGTTGCAGTCGTTAGTATAGATTAAAAATTTTCTGAATTAATTTCAAAGGAACACTGAACGAAGTTTTGAACTCGATCCTTGCTTACGTTGATTTTTGCATCAATCATATTCTTTGAAGATATGCATCAGTATATGATCAAATCAACAAATTCGTAATTGTATTTGCTTAATGTTTTTCTGGTTTTTAACAAAATTGAATCATTCTTTTGGATTTTTTTCTTTTCCACAATGCAATTTTTTGTTCAAAATGCAGTAGTCATGCTAATTCCTCGAGTCATTCTAATTCCTTTTTTTGAAGATTTTTAAACAAAAGTTTCTCATGGTTTTTGTGTGTCATTTTGGTGTGGAACTTGCTCAGTGTACATTTGAGCGCGTTGTTAATTGTGAATATATTTTCGACAACAAGAGTGTATAATCCTTGAATGCTTCTTCTTGTTCCATCTGATTTCGCAAACATAAGTGCTCACTTTTGGTGGAAATTATAGCAATTTGTTAGCATATGTTTCATCCGGTTTTTTATTGGCGGTTCAAGTCATAGCAATATGAATTTATTAGCACGTGTTTTATCCTTGAATGCCGAAGTAAAAGAGTGCCGAACATGATCAAGAAATTAAGAACGATAAGTTTCTAAGAACTCATTTGCAATAGCAAAAGAATGCGAGACTGTAATTGCTGCTTACGCACATTTTTGACAGAAAATTAAAAAGAAACAAACTTTTCTCCCAAATAAGTGTCATGAGTTTCTGAAAGTACAGCAATTAACAAGACTTTCTCCCCATTTGTAATCTGTGTAAGTTCATTTTGAATTAAAAACGGTCCATTCAGGAACTTTTTGCTATTTGCATTCTTTTATTTCGCCACTGAACGCATCCGTGTTGGCCACTGTTTTTAGTTATGGTTGCTAACTCCTCTTCGATTTTCGTACGCTTCGAGTTATTAAAAGTTAGTTAAAATTACTTTTTGCTTTGTGATTTGGTTTGGCTTTAGAATATAAATAAGCGTAGGACATTTGACTTATTGTTCTCACGTTAATATCTTGAGAGATTTGACTGTTGAATCCATGTTTGCAGGGAGTCAAAATTGGCTTTCCATAGAAATGAAAATATTGGCAAAAATTGCGCTTCGATATCAGCTTCGAATAAGTAATCAGCTTCGAATAAGTAATTGCGCGTCTGATCTGTAAAGTATAGGGCTGTGGTTTAGTGCAAATGAAGTTTTTAAAAAAATGTCTTTGAATAAAACTGTTCAAATGCAGTTTTTAAAAAACTGTTCAAATGCAGTTTTTAAAAATTTATCTTTAAATAGAAGACAGAGGAGCAGTTTCGATGCAACAAGAACCGAACCAGCAAGTACCCACGTGCAATAACTTGAACAAGTATAGTGCTCCTGATCAGAGGAGGCTGTTCAGAAGCACTTTGAGCAGTGGCGCTGCACCTTCCTCGTCGGCCAACAGGAACAACCCCAACGAACAGAGTGGCTTCATAAATGCCACAGCCGCCAACAGTATCCCAAATGACCCCTCCAATTCTTCAAGGTAACCTTATTCAAACAAGACAAAAACTTCATTCATTTTGCCAAGTAAATTTTGGAGAAAACTTATTAGTTGCTCTCACTCAACATTTTTTTGCGGTTTCAGTTTTGATTTTTAGAAGTGATTATCACTTATATAGGTCATAATGATTTTTTGGAGAAAGTCTTGAAAATTGTTCCAACACGAATTTTATTTTTTTGCGGTTTGACATTTGATCTCTTTTTAACTTCAATTCATTTATTTTGTTCAAAGGAAGGCTAACTCAAGTATCGAACAGCAGAAGTGCGAAAAACGTGAATGAGTTGATGGTTCAAAAATCGACCAGAAAAAATACCTATTGATCCAGTTTTCTCTGAATGGAATAACTTGAAGAAAAACTTTTCAATAATAAACAAAGTGTTCTTGAAGTTCAAAGAGCTTCAACGTGATATTTTCTTCGAAATTTGAAGATTGGGGGTTAAATTTTTCGAATGTCCTTTTTTTTCGGTGTCCTTGTTGTTACACACTTTTGCAACCACCTGTTTTCACATTCAAAGAGTTTCATTGTTATATATATTTTTGAAAGTTTACTTCTTTCAGTTCATATACGTATTTCCAACTGTCTCTTGACAATGTTTTGAATATCAGGTTGAATAATTTTCAGTAAATTATGTTTTTTTTGGCGATAGAGCGTTGCGAGGTTGTTGAAGTTGTCAGATGTGGCTCTAAAGATTAATGAAGCTAGTTTCTACCACCCGTAAGCATTATCTTCATAAGTTCGAGGGTTTATTCAAGGTTGTTGAAATTGTCAGATGTGGCTCTAAAGATTAATGAAGCTAGTTTCTACCACCCGTAAGCATTTATCTTCATAAGTTCGAGGGTTTATTCAAGGTTGTTGAAATTGTCAGATGTGGCTCTAAAGATTAATGAAGCTAATTTCTACCACCCGTAAGCATTTATCTTCATAAGTTCGAGGGTTTATTCAAGGTTGTTGAAATTGTCAGATGTGGCTCTAAAGATTAATGAAGCTAGTTTCTACCACCCGTAAGCATTTATCTTCATAAGTTCGAGGGTTTAATCAAGGTTGTTGAAATTGTCAGATGTGGCTCTAAAGATTAATGAAGCTAGTTTCTACCACCCGTAAGCATTTATCTTCATAAGTTCGAGGGTTTATTCAAGGTTGTTGAAATTGTCAGATGTGGCTCTAAAGATTAATGAAGCTAGTTTCTACCACCCGTAAGCATTTATCTTCATAAGTTCGAGGGTTTATTCAAGGTTGTTGAAATTGTCAGATGTGGCTCTAAAGATTAATGAAGCTAATTTCTACCACCCGTAAGCATTTATCTTCATAAGTTCGAGGGTTTATTCAAGGTTGTTGAAATTGTCAGATGTGGCTCTAAAGATTAATGAAGCTAGTTTCTACCACCCGTAAGCATTTATCTTCATAAGTTCGAGGGTTTATTCAAGGTTGTTGAAATTGTCAGATGTGGCTCTAAAGATTAATGAAGCTAGTTTCTACCACCCGTAAGCATTTATCTTCATAAGTTCGAGGGTTTATTCAAGGTTGTTGAAATTGTCAGATGTGGCTCTAAAGATTAATGAAGCTAGTTTCTACCACCCGTAAGCATTTATCTTCAAAAGTTCGAGGGTTTATTCAAGGTTGTTGAAATTGTCAGATGTGGCTCTGAAGATTAATGAAGCTAGTTTCTACCACCCGTAAGCATTTATCTTCATAAGTTCGAGGGTTTATTCAAGGTTGTTGAAATTGTCAGATGTGGCTCTAAAGATTAATGAAGCTAGTTTCTACCACCCGTAAGCATTTATCTTCATAAGTTCGAGGGTTTATTCAAGGTTGAAATTGTCAGATGTGGCTCTAAAGATTAATGAAGCTAGTTTCTACCACCCGTAAGCATTTATCTTCATAAGTTCGAGGGTTTATTCAAGGTTGTTGAAATTGTCAGATGTGGCTCTAAAGATTAATGAAGCTAGTTTCTACCACCCGTAAGCATTTATCTTCAAAAGTTCGAGGGTTTATTCAAGGTTGTTGAAATTGTCAGATGTGGCTCTGAAGATTAATGAAGCTAGTTTCTACCACCCGTAAGCATTTATCTTCATAAGTTCGAGGGTTTATTCAAGGTTGTTGAAATTGTCAGATGTGGCTCTAAAGATTAATGAAGCTAGTTTCTACCACCCGTAAGCATTTATCTTCATAAGTTCGAGGGTTTATTCAAGGTTGAAATTGTCAGATGTGGCTCTAAAGATTAATGAAGCTAGTTTCTACCACCCGTAAGCATTTATCTTCATAAGTTCGAGGGTTTATTCAAGGTTGTTGAAATTGTCAGATGTGGCTCTAAAGATTAATGAAGCTAGTTTCTACCACCCGTAAGCATTTATCTTCATAAGTTCGAGGGCTTATTCAAGGTTGTTGAAATTGTCAGATGTGGCTCTAAAGATTAATGAAGCTAGTTTCCACCACCCGTAAGCATTTATCTTCATAAGTTCGAGGGTTTATTCAAGGTTGTTGAAATTGTCAGATGTGGCTCTAAAGATTAATGAAGCTAGTTTCTACCACCCGTAAGCATTTATCTTCATAAGTTCGAGGGTTTATTCAAGGTTGTTGAAATTGTCAGATGTGGCTCTAAAGATTAATGAAGCTAGTTTCTACCACCCGTAAGCATTTATCTTCATAAGTTCGAGGGTTTATTCAAGGTTGTTGAAATTGTCAGATGTGGCTCTAAAGATTAATGAAGCTAGTTTCTACCACCCGTAAGCATTTATCTTCATAAGTTCGAGGGTTTATTCAAGGTTGTTGAAATTGTCAGATGTGGCTCTAAAGATTAATGAAGCTAGTTTCTACCACCCGTAAGCATTTATCTTCATAAGTTCGAGGGTTTATTCAAGGTTGTTGAAATTGTCAGATGTGGCTCTAAAGATTAATGAAGCTAGTTTCTACCACCCGTAAGCATTTATCTTCATAAGTTCGAGGGTTTATTCAAGGTTGTTGAAATTGTCAGATGTGGCTCTAAAGATTAATGAAGCTAGTTTCTACCACCCGTAAGCATTTATCTTCATAAGTTCGAGGGTTTATTCAAGGTTGTTGAAATTGTCAGATGTGGCTCTAAAGATTAATGAAGCTAGTTTCTACCACCCGTAAGCATTTATCTTCATAAGTTCGAGGGTTTATTCAAGGTTGTTGAAATTGTCAGATGTGGCTCTAAAGATTAATGAAGCTAGTTTCTACCACCCGTAAGCATTTATCTTCATAAGTTCGAGGGTTTATTCATGGTCATTATCCGCAAGTTTTTACATTGAGTTTTCTTGCTGCTTTCCAAAAACAACAGCACAAAAAAGTTTCCACAATGGACTGCTAGTTTATTTTCCCAACTCAGTCTTTGTTTTTTTTCTCGAAGTTCGGTTTTTCCTCCAAAAGCAAAGGACATATGATCTGCGATTTTGCGCCGGTCGTCCGCAAAGTGCATCAAACTGCAAAAAGACGATACGGGGCAATTTGTTTGAGGAGAAACTTTTGGAGTTATTTTCTATCGTGCTGCGCAATGGCTCAATTGTTGCAGCCGAATTACCTGCCAATATCCTCAAATCTCCATTTTTTTATCCACTGAACTGATTGCTCGTTTGTCTCAGATTTCGTAAAATTTTTGTCAACGGGGTTTTTCTGAGGGACTCAATTGACGCAAGAAAAATGGTTCGAAGATGAAAGCGTTATGATATTTTACTTATATTTTACTGGGGAGTTTTACTGATGTTTCGATACTGTAAATAATTCAGCCAATAAATTGTTGTTCCGACCACTGAAAATGGGGAGGAACTTTGTATTCGGGCGTGTTTTAGTTTTTTGTTTTTCCCGCAAAATAGATACCACAAAAAATAAATGGAATGGAGCGAGTGAATTTTTTTTACCAGTGTTAGAAAAAAACTTGTTAACCCCCCTTGCAATTGGGTACTAGACTTTTTTCCCCGTAAATAACTTTGTTCACAGAGGTCAAAATTAGAAATGGTAAATGTAGATTCAGTTTATTACACTAGCAAGATTGCGAGGGTTAGTGTATTGGTACGAATCTTGTTTTTCTAACCTAACTCGCAAATAAAAGGGTTCATTAAAAGTGTTCACTTATGTATTGGCTTTTTTGTTCACTTAATTCTGAGAACAAAGTTAATAATCACAATCTGCAGCATTGGAAATTTCGTAGCATCTGTTTTCTACTTTGTTTGTAGCTAGTGCTTGTGAATATTAAACGTCCATGGCTGAGTGGTTAGTTTGTGAAACTCATTATCTCTTGGTCGCAGATCGAGTCCGAGACGTAGCCGAATTTTCACTACTTCGAGGCTTATTTCTTTTCCTTTTGACCTTTATAGAGCTGATTTTTGTTGTGTTCTCGCTAGTGTTTGCCAAGGGCAGCTTCGCCTCTGTATAATAACTTCACATTTTTTGCGTCTCCGGCACATTTGGTCTGGAGTTAACGAATACGCCTGGGATAGCAAAGGTCTTGGGTTCGAATATATCGTTTTTTTTTTCAAAACGGGAAATGTTATGTTATAAAAAAATGTGCCGGCTTATTATTTGTCTGCTTGTTTTTTCAGTTCGTTTGCAGCATCATAGATATGTTTTTTGCTTCTCGACGCTAGTTATATTGCAATTGCCGTTAGTGTTTTGATTTTTTCTGCTATTTGCAAATTTGACTGCGTGTATTTTCTTTTTTTTTTCGCTTAAAATTTTTATTCTGCCCAAATGATTTCGGCTTTTTTTAAATCGGATTAGTGATCTATTTTTAAGTAGTTTCAAGGATAAATTTATGATAATTTTTTATGATTGCACAAAATGCTAGAACTGATAATAGAAGATATTTTATGACAACAATTTTTTTCAAGTTTTTATTCTGCCCAAATGATTTCGGCTTTTTTTAAATCGGATTAGTGATCTATTTTTAAGTAGTTTCAAGGATAAATTTATGATAAATTTTTATGATTGCACAAAATGCTAGAAATAATATTAGAAGATATTTTATGACAACAATTTTTTTCAAGTTTTCTTGTTTAATTTTTTTCTTTTTCGATCGGTTTCGACCATCATAAAATCGGCTGAAGTGGCTCATATTGCTTCTTCCATATTTATATATATGTGTGTGTGTGTGTGTGTGTGTGTGTGTGTGCGTGTGTGTGTGTGTGTGTGTGTGTGTGTGTGTGTGTGTGTGTTTTGAGGGTTAGTCATATTTTTTTGAATTGTTTCAGACTTTTTTGTTTTTCTTAATAGGTTTGAACTATTTTATATTGGCTTAGTAACCTCATGATGTTGCATTCGAACCGCAAAGAAGGTTATGTATGCTCGTGTTATAAGGGTGAGTGTGACTTATTAATTCTTTTTGATAGATCTAGTTTTTTTTCGACATTTTCGAGTTTTTTTTTTACTTATCGGCTTTCTTGTTTTGTATCGCAAGTTGTGCGAAGCTCAGCTTCGCCTCTGTTTTGAGATTTTTGGGCGAATAACGTGAGCGAGCAGGTTTATTTTGTTTTTCATCCAAAAGCATTTATCACAAATAATCATCGTAATCAGATTAAAGCCCTCTCAGACTTGATTCGAACGGCATTCATAAAGTTGTCCCAGTGTGGAGAAAAATGGTTTGAAATTTCTCAGTTAAGTCTAATTTCGAGCGAGTAAAGCAAGCGATTAGACTATTTTTGTTTTCTCCAGTCAGTTTTTGAAAAAATAAACGGTTACCCGATTTTACTGTGATTTTAGAACTAAATTTTAGGTTTTAGTCCGATCTTTTCATTGCCAAGCATTAAAACAACACTAATTTGAAAAAAAAAGAAACTTCGTAGTTTAAGAAAATGGTCGGAGCATTTTGTGCTACTTGCACAGTAACCGGCTGTCCTTGTTCAAATTGTTTTTAGTGGACTCACTAGTTCTCGGTCAATTTTTTTTTTCGTTATTTATCTTTTGGCGAGTCTTCTACTGCACTGCACCATTTCTAATGAGAGAAGTCGATGAACAAAGTTCAGACTCTTATATAAGTCGTGATGATTTTTTTTCTTAATTTATTCAGGAAAAGACTAAAAATGCTCTAATAACTGCAGAAAGTACATTCATACATATTATTGCATTTTTGAATGCCTTCATGTGCACTTTTATGAGTTCTGCTTATGTGCACTTTTTGAGTTCAATTTAAATTCATCTGATGAAAGTTTGGTAAATTGCACTCTCCAAATACGAACGTGTAAACTGCGCGAAAAAAATGTGAAGGATTTCTAGTTTCAAAGTAGAAATTATTTTAAGGTTTCCAAGCAGATTAAAAATTTTACCTATTGATCCAGTTTTCTCAAAATGAGTTCATTTTTATCAAAAAAGCCCCAATCATAAATTGTTCTACAAATTCAAAGAGCTTATAGGGCATCTATTTTTTTCTTTGAAACTGGAAAGTTTTTTTAAAACAAAGTCAGTGTTTTTTTTTTGTTTACTTGCACTCTTTTCCAATCTTTGATTGGCCATGTTTTCCAACTGTCTGTTGGCATTGTTTTGGAAAATGTGAATGTCAAAATACTAATCCGAAAATGGAAGCTTCCACTGGTAAAGTGATATTTTTTCGTTGACCTTCCCTACATTCTGGTATTTTCTGCGCATCTGCTTAATCAGTGCAATAATCTAAAGCCGTGGGGAATAATCTTTTTTTTATCAGCGTGGGGAATAATCTTACGGACAATTTAGTCCGAAGTTCACTTCTTATGTTTACAGTTCCCTGCTATTAAATATTAAAACTGCAAAATTAAATAAAAACAAGTACGAACAGAAACCAGGGTAGACGATTACTGTTCAGATAGCACAGATTATTCCGACTATAGTCTGAAAAAGATACAATGTTTTCAAATTACTGTCGATTTACAGTAGCTCGAAATAAGACCAAAAATCAAAATTTTCAAATCGTTTTTTCTCGACAGAATGTTTTCACAAAGTTTTTAATTTTCGAATCACGACTGAACGGGCTTTAATATGATATATAACTCTACTCATGCCGATGATTATTTGTGGCACCTGATTTTTCGTGGAAAACAAAAATAAAAAACTAAAACATCCGTATACAAAGTTGCTCCACATTTTTCAAATGGTCGGAACAAGTATAGCCGGTTGTTGTTTGTGGAGTGATGGTAAAATAGGAGTAGTTAATGAAGTCTATAAAAATACTTCACGGGTTTTTTATTACGCCTGCCCGTTTATCATCATTTTGCTTCGCTCGCATTCGTGTATGGATCGAATTGGCTTCCAAAGAGAGTATCATGTGAGCCCATTTTCAGAGTGGGCACGCCCGACTTCGAAGTGAACAATACACTTGGAGGGGGAGGGGGAGGGGGAGGGGGAGGAGGCGGTGGTGTACATGCACCGATGGGCACACCAGCAGGACACCCCGCCTCTCAAGGGGCATCGGGTGTGGGTGTGGGTGTGGCGGGAACAAGTAGCACTACTTTGATGCAGCAGCAGCCACATGCGGCGGTGGCTGATTCGTCCAGCAGCTCCAACTACATGTCACTGTACTTGAGGCTGGTCTATTGCAAGCAGGAGTTCACCTATGTTCACCTCAAGGTTCTTTCCTTTCCGCTTCCTACTTCGACGCAATTCTTTTGCTGCAGTGTTTAAATGGTCATTGAACGAAGTGAGGGCCGTTCTTTTTCGCTGTCAGATGTTTTTTAAAATTATTATTCCGGCTACCCTCCCCTCCATCAATGGGTGAGAAGAAAACACAAGATTATCTTTTTTTATTTCCGCTCGATTTTGAATACTTCGAAGAAAGATCGCTGGGGGTCAAGTTTAGTGTCATATTGAAGCCCAATCGATTGTTATTCGATACAAAACATGAAACGTTGCTATTGAGAAAAACTGGTCTGCATTTCAGACCAATTCACCGCTGAGTAAATCATACCCGCATGAAAGCCACGCTCAAAATGATTAAACTATTGTTTAGGCGTTTGTAACCTAATCAGTGGATCCTAATTTTGATTCCTGTTTTACCCATGAAAGCGACAAAAAGTCCAGAAAACAAATTTAAAAATATCAAATTGCACAGCAACTATCTTTTTTAAAGACGAAAATCTGATCGCGCTCAAATTCGATTTCTTTTGCGTGTGACTTTTGGATTCTTTTTAAAGGAAAGCAATTTACGCTCTCCAATTACAAAAGACCACATTTGGCAAAAACTTGATTGAATCTAAGTCATAGCGTATTGTAAAAGGGGGATGGTTCTCATGCTTGAAGGTCCGAATGCTTGAAAATTTTCAACCAATCAAAATCGCAAAGCGTTTTCATTGGCTAAATGCCTTTCTCACAAAATCGAAGTCAATATTAACAGAAAATGTATTAAATCAGTGGAAAACAATAAAAAAATTTACTAATTGCGGGTTACAACCGCAATACTATTCAGATAATCATTAAGATTAATGCGGTCAAAATCATAAGAATTTTTCAGTCTTGAAAACTCATCTGCTTATTATCTAATTGATGGATATAAGCACTAATGGCCTGGATTTATTTTCTTACTTTGAGATTTTCGCAATTTACTTTGAGAGTTTGAATACTCGATTCTGATTGGCTGAAAGTAAGCTAAAATTAATTTCAAGCATTTGGTCCTTCAAGCATGAGGGACGCCAGCTTGTAAAAGTACGAGTGGAGTGCAGCCTGTATTTAGACTCGGTGGCGTCCCTCATGCTTGAAGGACCGAATGCTTGAAATTAATTTAAGCTTAATTTCAGCCAATCAGAATTGAGTATTCAAAATCTCAAAGTAAATCGCGGAAATCTCAAAGTAAGAAAATAAATCCAGGCCATTAGTGTTCATATTGACCGATTAGATAATAAGCAGATGAGTTTTCAAGACTTAAAAATTCTTATGATTTTGACCTCATAAATCTTGTTGATTATCTGAATAGTATTGCGGTTGTAACCCGCAATTTGTAATATTTTTGATTATTTTCCACTGATTTAATACATTTTCTGTTAATATTGACTTCGATTTTGTGAGAAAGGCATTAAACCAATAGAAACGCTTAGCGATTTTGGTTGGTTGAAATTTTTCAAGCATTCGGTCCTTCAAGCATGAGAACCCTCCCCCTTTAGACTCGTCAGTATTTAGACAAATACTGTATGAACCAATCAGAATCGAGATAAGATAATCAAAATAATCCAAAATAAAAAATAATTATTTATTAATTTCTTCTTTGTCTCGATTCTGATTGGTTGAAACAGTATTTGTCTAAATATTGACGAGTCTGAATACGCGGTTGTCTAAAAAACTGCTATGTAACCAGTACGAGTATACCTGGTCCAACCTAAGTCGCAAATATAACTGCCAGTTTGGGAGGGGGCTATTCTCATGCGCGAAGGACCGAATGCGCGAAAAAACTTGTGAGCGAATGACCGAAAATAAATTTAGCCGAAAGTCAAATTTGGAAAAGAAGCAATTGCCATTCAATTAAATGAAGCAATATTTCGCTTCTTTTATAACGAAACCCTTGAAATATGAAATTTGTTCCAATTCGGCGGCGGTCAGTGACAATTTGAAAATTTTGCATATTTCTGCCGTTTTTATTTTCGGCCAATATCAATATTCTAGTCTCTGGAAATGTTTACTTTCTTTGCAAACTTCAGATTACTGAAATCTGATTGGCTGATTTGTATTTTCGCGCATTCGGTCCTTCGCGCATGAGGGATTCCACGGTCTGGGAAGCCCCCTTACGGCTTTGTGACAGCACGTTCTTTGACATTCGATTAGTTGGAGTGCAGCCTGTATTTAGACAACCGCGTATTCATACTCGTCAGTATTTAGACAAACACTGTATGAACCAATCAGAATCGAGAAAAGACATAAATAATCCAAAATAAATCATCATTATTTATTAATTTCTTCTTTGTCTCGATTCTGATTGGTTGAAACAGTATTTGTCTAAATACTGACGAGTCTGAATACGCGGTTGTCTAAATACTGCTATGTAACCGATTAGTTATATAAGTTAACACAGTTGATGCATGCTTAATTCATCAAATGAACCGAAAAAAGCTAATTGTTTGTAACCACAACAATGAAAAAACTGCGCATCAGAAATTTTCATCTCAATCGCAGTCTTTTCGAAGTGCATAATTTATACATAATTTGGGTTTATGCTTTCCAACTTTTTACACGCAAAGTTAGATTGGATGCCGTAAATTGGGTCCGTTTATACTTGGTGTAGCTGGTTTAGTGGTGGATATTGGTAGTAAGTTTTCAAGGGTACGAGACACAGATGCTTGTTTTCGGTATACATTTTTTGCGGCTAATTATTTCATTGAAGGTAGAAATATAATTTTGTTATTGTGTTGAAATATAATTTTGTATTGCTTCGCCTCCTTATAGGTCCGCTTCATAATTTCATTTGTGTAATATTTATGCGAAATCATAAAATGTTGATCAAATTCTAATAATATTTAGTTTCGAAGCACATGTAGCAGATATGTATGAGTGTGGAGCAAATATGTATGAGTGTGGATGCTGATGGTCTATAAATAGTTCGGGTTTCTCAGCTAAATAAGACAATGTTGCATTTTATACCAAGTTAATCCTTTTTAGTTTAGTTCGCATTCGGAGTTAACAATCGCTAAGTTAAAGCGGGAAGCAAAATTAACGCGCAGAGTGAATGATAACCAAAAATGCTGAGATAAAAGCACTTGGAGCAGTATAACGAAGAGAGTTTTGTCGTAGTAGGATTGGTGTTTATGTACTGTATGTTTGCATGAGTGAAGGCGGGTGTGTTCACTGATCGGATGGACGTGACAGTGCTGGGGGAGAAGGACTTCCAGACGGACGAGGGGGGCATCGGCTGGGCCCAGTTCCTCAACAAGGAGAGTGTGGGCAAGTTCATCCTCGGCGGAGGGGGAGGGGGAGGGGGGCAGAATGAGCACAAGCAGGAGCACATGGACAAGCAGGGATACATACAGCTCTACTTGGAACTCATTCTGAACGAGACCAAACGAAAGGTAAGGCAAAAGATTAGTGTTGAGTCGTCATTTCTGTATCAAATATTCTGCCTGTGATGGACATGTGCTGGCCTGTGATGAGTGTTGTGTTAGATAAGTGTTGAGTCATTTCTGTATCAAATATAATATGCTGCCTGTGATGAGTGTTGTGTTGTGTTGTGTAGGAGGGGGTGGAGTGCAAGGCCCTGGCCCACTCCGACCTCATCATGGACTTGAGCAGCCTCCTCTCTCAGAAGAGTCTGAGTGACGTGCAGTTAGTGTGTGGGGACAAGAAACTACATGTGCACAAGGCACTTCTCGCAGCCAGGTCTCCCATCTTCAGGGTAATACACAATACCAATACACAATAAAACATCATGCCTACACTATTCACTTTATCAAATCCCCACCCGCTTTATCAATACTTGTGTCACACTTAATGCTTGTCCTCCCCTTTTTTCCCTCCAGAGGCCGAGGGAGGAGTGCTTCATACCTATTTTTAATTGAATGTCCCACGTTTCGCCGACACATATTTCGCTCCTCTTAAATTTAGTGGCACATTTCGCCCCTCACACATTGCACACATTTCGCCTCTAACTTATTACACAGTTAATTAACCGCCGCTATCTTCAATTTACGATTTGAAGAACGAAATGTGTGAATACCTTTTTAATTCAATTCCCCTGCAGGCTTTTCAGGGTGTTAATTGGAGTAATTGTTTTGATCACTTTATAGTAGCATAGAGGCACTTATCATAATGCTAAGGCGTTCACTTGGAGAAACGGCCTTGAGTAGCAAAAAAGAGCTTAGCTCAGCAAAATAACTCAGTCTGGAGTGTGGGGTAATAAGAAACTGACTATGCTTAGAAAGGTGGGATAGCCTTTCATAGATCCTCTACGAATCACAGAAACCACAAGTTTTGTATACAAGCAATGTGTTATAGCGAAGTATTGTTTTTCCGATGTGTCGCGCGTTTCTCATTGCACAATTTTTTTGCGGTTTTATTTGAAGACACCAACGGATCGAGCATAGCCATCGGCAACCAAGCGACAAGATTATTTTAATCCCGATAACAAAGTACGTTCAGAGCATTTCAATTTGTTTTAAAGTTTCTTTTCAAAACAATCAAAAAGTTTGTAAATTCTTTACGGTCTTTTTTTTGCGCTCGACGCCATATCGAGTTTGGTTTTCATTTCACCCTCGGCCTTTAAACATGAAAAAAAATTGAGTTGATGTGAATGCATAGTAAACGCAAGGGGAAATAGGGGCTTTGTTTCTATAGTAAATGGGTAGTCGGAGGGGAGGCTGAATTGGTGCGCGGACGGAGGAGTATGTTAGCTATTCGAGTATTGTCTTGTGGAGTTTCCTTTCTTTCTTTCAGGCGATGTTCATGCACCCGTCGCAGGAGAACCAGACGAACCAGATTGAGTTGAAGGACGTGGAGTGGGATATTCTGGAGGAGCTGATCAACTTCATCTACACTGGCCAAGTGGCCAGACTGGACCTGCTGGCGGACTCTCTGCTGCCGGTGGCCGACAAATACGCAATAGTGTCGCTGGTGAAACTGTGTGAGGAGTCGCTGTCTTTTAACCTGACAGTGGACAACGTCGTCCACAGACTGGTGTTGTCCTACTTGCACAATGCTGTCACTCTCAAGCGAGCAGCACTCGGCTTCATTGAGCGCAACATCTGCACTGTCAGACTCACCGAGGGCTGGATCCAAGCACAACTCAAGTACCCCCAGCTGTTCCTCGACTGTTTCCCTTTCACAGAACAGTTATCTCTCATCGTGTCCAAAAGCATGATGTCATTTTGATGCAAATGAACAGTCCAAAAAACAAAAACATTGTAATTGAAATATAATTATAGACAATGAGCTGTTGATGATTTCTAATGATACTAAGAGCTCTCTGGCTCCGGAACTTAGTTTCCGAAAAATTTGCATACTCATTCTGCTGTAATGCTCAATACTGCGGTAAACTCAGTTAAGCATAATTGACTTTGTTAGTTTAGTTTTTTAATGAACGTTTCAAAAGTGAGGTGTAACTCTCATATGTATTGAGACCTTGAGCAAAAAATCACTTCCGTTTTAGTTGAGTCGTTTCTTTGCCAACCCACACATTCTAAAAATTTTAAAACTGAGTTTTTTCGAACTTACCTGTGATTTGCATCAAGCGGTGCAATTTAAGAAACAGTTTTCAAGAGCCGATGAACGCAGTGAAGACTCTTTTATAGTAGTAATAATAATTTACAGAAAAAGTCCTAAGAGTTGTTCACCCTCAAATGTGATAGCTCGCTGTTTGACTTCTGATTTCTTCAGTTCATTTTTTTGTTGTATTAGTTTGACTCTACATTTTTTCAACCTCGCAAATGAAAGTGCTCATTTTGTGGCACTTTTGCTATAGATACGATCTGTAGCATTGGTAATTTCATAGCATCTTTTTATTGCTTTATTGTTGACTACTTTGCCGCTGGTCGAGTGTTCGTGGCTCAGAGGGAAGGACTTGAGATTCCTGAGCTACTTTTCGGAGGTTCAACACCGCACTTAGCACTAGTTAGTTATATTTGTTCTCATCGGTAATTTTTCATCTACAGCTGCATCATTGGCGGCCAGTTTTAGGAAATTTCAAATCCCCCGCGGGCCAGATAAGACAACGCGAGACTCTCTAGCTCGCAGGCTCGAATCAGATAAATAACAACGTCGTACTAATTCGTATTTCTTTTTTAGTTCACTTTATAGAGCTGCGTTTAGTCGTTTTCTCGCTTGTGTTTGCGAAGCGTAGCTTGGCCTATGCGTAAAAGGAAGGCAAAATCGACTATCGAACAGCAAAATCGTGAAAGTCGCAAAAAACATGGACGGCTTCTAGTTTCGAAGGTTTAGTTTAAGTTTCGGTTTACCAGCGGAATGAAAAACTTGCCATTTGTTTTAGCTAGCTCGAACTGACTTTTTTTCCTTGCGTTAATTAACTTTTTCCTAACTGCCGTTTGGTTATGTTTTGTTTCTGAGAGTGCCCCCAAAGTTCTGCTAAACAATTAATGGTTATTTTTGCCCATATGCCCTAGTGACCTTATCTCAAAGTTATTTTTCTCTATCTACCATAAATCTTTGACCGGAGCATCTGTGATTCGGCGAATTTTTCTTTACATTTTACATTTCAAAATTTCTGAGGCTTTCAACTGAATTTAAAATTGTTTTTTTTTTTGTGTTTTTGAAGGTTTTATTTTGGCTATTTTTTCGTGTCATTAAAAATTTTTGAACAAATTTGTACAGAAAGACATATTTTTTCCCTAAATTGAACAGTATGTTTAATATGAATATTTTAAGAGCGAAGATGTCACTCACGCTGAAAAAAAGTACACTCTGAACTACAACTGCATTTTACAAAGACAATATACAGAATTTTGCTTTTTGCTCACGATTACTCAATGGTTTCAATAGCAAAAAAGATAGCTAAGTTAAAATAGCGCAAAGTTTACCAAAACGCTTCCAATAAAAAACATTTTTACGCACGCGAGCCAGTGAGAGTAGTCTTATATTATGCGTCAGCACTTTTTTCTTACCCAAGACTACTCTCACTGGCTCGCGTGCGTAAAAATGTTTTTTATTGGAAGCGTTTTGGTAAACTTTGCGCTATTTTAACTTAGCTATCTTTTTTGCTATTGAAACTGCTAATTTTTTCCTGTAAAAGACCTTGCGCAGATTTTGGAGCAGTAGCAATTAGTAGAGCTAACCTTTTTCTCTTAATCTTGCATTAGATAGATCATTACGTTACCAGTAAAAATAATTATTTGTCAATGATCAGTGAGAAGACCCTCATCAATTTCTTCTTGTGCAAAAATTAAAGTTTTATTTCGCTGCGGTTTTTTGTGTTTAGGCTAGCAAGCAGAAAGCGTTAAAAAATGTAGGCTACACATTTCAAGCAGAATTTTTCTTTAACAGAATCGCTAAACCATCTGTTGGCTTGAGTTACAGTTAACTCCAAGTCATCGTCACCTAATCTGCACGTTCGACTTCGAGCTAACAATCATATCTGACCTTGCGAAAGTCTGCAGTTTGAATCCTGTCACTGTTTTTTTTTGCGAATTGAAAAGCTTGTGCTTAAAAAAGGCTGCCGTTTTTTGTCAACCTATTCCTCAGCGTTGACTTTTCTGATGCTTGAGCATTTTTTTGTAATTTTACGAATCTTTCTGATAATTTAAAAGATTTTGTGATTTTCAATTTACGGTTTTTTCTTTACTTTTAGGACACAAAAAAGCAATGAATGCAGCGTTTCATGAATCATAAAAAAGATTCATTTTATAACATAACTGTTAACATTAGTGTGTTAAAAATTGACTGGGTTATGTTAAAATTTTGTCAGAATACTGCAATTTTTTAAAATTAAAATATTCAATTTTCTGACACATTTAAATATCCCAGTGGAATGAAAAAAGTCTAGAATATGTTATTAAAACGTTTAATGTGATGCTCTTTCTGTCGAAAGTTGAACAAGTTTTTGATTTTCTTGTTCTTGTAGTTTCTATGAGTATTCGAACAGTTAACGTATAGACAATTACGCCCATTCGAGAATCGACTGTTACACGTTCAATTTGTTGATGATTTTAAATGGGCGTTTTTTATGAAGGTGTAACAGTCGATTATCAAGAGTTTCTTGAAAAGTGTCATTCCGATTACGTCTCAAAGGCATCATTTCTTACATTTTGCGTTGAAACTTTTCGAAGAACATGAGCTAGGTACCCAATATGACAACGCCCGTGAGATTTTTCCATATGTTAGTCATTTTGTATCATTTTATTTAACATCCAAACGTTTGGTCGAGTTCCACAAACACCTCGTGTGAGAACGTTGTGGTGAGAATGTTGTGTAAAATCAGTAGAAATTGGAGCAAACAAGTTGTCTCAAAATGTTCAAAAAAGCTAAGTTTTTTAAATTATAAAAACAATGATATTGTCGATACAAACAAATAACAAAAAAAATTGTTGGAGGTCCGTTTTTTGAATTTTTCTTTATATTTTAATTGTAGCATATATTAATACAATCCTAATTTTTTTGTGAAAACACCCACGAGAGAAATCTTGAGTTCTCCAAAACCTAAAAAAACGTAAACTTGATTTAAAAAATTTGGAGACTTGAATAAATTTGACTGTGGCATTGGCTTTTCTCATCTGTGGGCAACGTTCTTGAGTGTATTGAAGAAAATGTGGAAACAATTCTAGTTTTTAAATACAATCGTGTTCGCAATTATAATCAGGCATATAGAAATGTGAAACTAGACGAGTTTATGGACATGTACACATTCTAATGCTTGAAGGGAACCTGGCGGAACAGTATTCAGTTTCAGTAGTTTCTTTTGCATTTAAAGTTCTCAGAGTCATTCCTGGCATAAACGTTGTTATGAGATTGTTGTGTAAGTTTAGCACAATTTAGTTCAACCAAGTTTTCAAATGGTAAGTTTAAGGCTCTTGCCGATATTTCTTGAAATAAGTTGCAAAATTAATGGAGGACATAACACACTGGAAGAAAACTTGTTGCAGCAGCTTTTGCAAAAAGGTGTTCATTTTTCGTTCATTCTTCCGTTTTTCTAAGGTGTAAATAATTCAAATTTGGGATTTTAAGACAAATTGCTTTGGAGAAAAAATGAAAACATCGAGCTCTGTCTGGTTTTGTTTGTAGCCAGAAACATACGAGTTTTGAAATTCGACTCTCGTGGTCTTAGGTTGTTTTCGAGACCATCATAGCATTTATGTCTGATAAGTTCCTGGCCGTAGAGTTCACCTATTATTTACTAGGTTCAGGCGTTCTTCACTTCAACACTAACTTCGACCGGCATACCCCAGAAACGTCTATGATGGAAGTCCTATAATGGTATCAAAAATTATTTATGAAGTCTAGGTTAGAAGTTTTAGAATTGTTGTTTCTCATCTCAAAAACGGGGTCAAAGTCTAATATAATTTCTGTGACAATACATCCAGGTCCATTTTTTTGATTTTTTAAACGTAATTGTAACATATATCGGTGTAAACCTGTCCTTTTAATATGATGAAGACATCAAAGCAAAGGAATCTTATACTCTCCAAATACTCTGAAAAAAAGTAACATTGAATAACTTTGAAGACTTGATTAAAAAACTTATGATTGTGTCGTCGAGTCGTTATTTTCAGGCATATAGAAGGGACCCCGGTGGAGCAGCATTTAGTTTCGTCACAGAGCCAAAAAAATTCATGGTTGTATTTTTCATTTTCAATAAAAAATGTTTTTCATTAAAAGTATCCGTCATTTTAGAAACTGCATTTCCCTTCCTTTTTAAAAAACCTTCATTTGACTGTTTTCTAATTTTATATCGGATCAAGTATTGATTAAACATTTGCGGGTGAAAATTGTCTGGAAACTTGTAACTTTTTCACGTTTCAACAGTTTCACGTCGCGGTTTGGTTTTTGTCATTCGGTGAGGGAATTCACTGAGTAATGCCATTTGGGATTTATGCCATGTAGGAGGGTGCCTCTATTTCGACAGTTTTGGTTTGTTTTTTTTTCAGTAAAAAATAACGGAAAAGAGTTTAGCGCAACTAATTCTGATTGTTTTCGGTTCGAAAATGGACTGAAAGTTCAAGATTTTTCCGCAGAGTAAGAAATCATTTTCCTCAATTTGGTAATTCGTTACTCAATCAAAGGGGTAATTAATTACTGAGTAAAAATTCACATATGATAAACCTCTAAATCGTTTACTTAGTCTATTTTAAGGGGTGGCAATGTGTAACTAGGTACCAAAGGGGGCAATAGATAAAGATTCTGTCAACAACTCTGTCTAGCATTACTCATATAGTGACTCATTTTTCATACCATGGCTGATATAGTTTAATTGTGAGCTCTAATTGTACTCAATTCATTTATGCTGCTTTTGCTGCTTGAATACATAAAAAAACTAAATCTATGAATTTTTTCTTCAAGGATAAGCTAAAAGGATAGATACAATTCTAACTAGCTTCTAAAATTATTTACAATAAATACAACACGAAAAATGTACAATATTTGATAGCCGAGAAAATGTTTAGTTTTTGCCGAGAAATAATTTGTTTAATTGCTGTAATTAATAAGAAAATATACCCAAATCTACATGTCAATATTACAAGTTGTTCAATTGTATAAGTTAGAGTGCTGAAGTAGTTGGTTGGGGGGCAGTTGTGTTCTGCAGTCTGCGGCTGAGGTCTCGGATGAATCCGATCAGCTTCGTCTCTTCCTCACTCTTCCATCTCCCTTTATTCTTCTCTGTCCATTCAGCGAATCTTTCAACTCGTGCAATGAAACCGATTACAATATCACACGCTTCTGTTCTTGGTGGCTGCAGATTCAGCTCCTTCAAAAGTTCTACCAGAAGATCAAAGTGCTGCTCGTTCTTTTCTGCAATGAGTGTTCGGAGCATCAGGAAGGATCGGTATTGTACAGACCACTCGATCGCTTGTTTCAGAATGTTTGCTCTCATATTTGCATTTTTACTACTCTCATCATATTCACGCATTTTAGTCAGCAAGTATCGTACTAATTCGTGGTCTTTGTTGGTCCGGGTTGCAATGGACAGAAGCGACTGCTGTTTAATTAAGTCAATGTCAAAACTCTGGCTCACGATCAAGCCGCTTATATCATCAGCTGGAACCTTTAAGAACTTGGAAGCCTTTTCAAATGCATGCTCAACTACTTTTAGCGAACCTTCCCTCATAGCTGAAGTCAATAGTCCTTTGAACAAAGTCACTTTTGTTCCAGCTGGTAAATTTGGAGCAGGGAATTGCATGCGCCAATCCAGTGCCTCCACTCGTCCTCGGCAGTAGGCCGATAGAGTCCAGCGAGTGAACTTGTCTTCAGCGTCTGTGTTGGAGCAGTCGTTTATCATGTCAGCCATGTGGCGACGACTCTTGACGAATTGTCCCAGTTGGCCGAGAAAGTGTTCGCTCTTCTTCCTACCAATGCAGGCTGGCAACACAACCGCCACGAACACACTCTCAACTGATATGTTGGAATTGCAGTCGTCTCCCATCTGCTTGTGCCTCCTCTCAATCGCCTCCAAGCACCTGTTCAGACATGGGATGTGCTCTCGATGCACTGAAATACGAAGCACCTCACAAATGTCTTCCACTCTTCCGCTCAGCTTACTCTCAAACAACAACTGCTCTCTTTGCTCGTTGCCAATCATTTGAGCAACTATCAACTGGCTGTTCTCATCTGATCTAAAACTTTCCAGCTCAGCTTTTTGCTGCTCGTTTGCGACCACAAACGTCAGTGACTTCCTTGCCCGTGATGTGGCAATGAGAAGGTTTTGACCGAAGATCTGTCCTTTTGTCAGGTGCTCCTCTTCATTCAGTCTCGTCTCTGTGCTGTCCCGAATACTAGCATTTGAATCGAAAATAATCAGCACACGATCAAATTCGCTGCCTGAAAAGAGCAGATTTTGAATTCCATCGTCAGGCGCGTTAACAAAAGTAGCGATGCTGTAACTATTGAGTGCTGTCCCTTTTTCGGGCGAATAGTTAGAGCAACCATCTCTAAATATAATGACGCATTGTTCTGCTGGGTCCGATAGCGATAGACTTGTTCGCCAACTGTTCACAAACTTGTTTCGTTTCTCGACATCTCTTTCCATTTCAATCCTAATGTTGTCTTCATTGGATACCCGAGGGGATATTAAGCAGATGCTTTTCCCGCAAATGTGCTGCCTAAATAAAAAACTCCATTTGATTCCGTTTAACGAAAACTGTACGAGCAATAACCTTTGCAAACAAAGAAAAACTTATCCGTGGAATAATGTAGTTATCATAGTACTAATGATAAATTTCTAAAAAATCCGTGCCATAAAGCAGGTTCTCTCGGAAAAATCAGGTGTCGCTAATGTCATAAAAAGATATTACAGACACCATTTTAGGCCTCTGAACAGTAGAAAACATACTCATCTGCTCAGGGGTGGATCTTCCAAAGAGAGGGGGGGGGGGCAGATTTTCCAAAAACTTTGCCGACCTTTTTTTGTTGACCAAAATGATTTCCCGAGTTCCCCCAAAGCACTAAAAAGACCTTTTTTGGCCAAAATTTCTGCCTTGTAGGCAAAATTTGTAAAAATAGGCCTAAAATAGCGTTTTTAGGCACTTTTTTGAATTTTTTTAACCAAAAAATTGCGTTTTTTCGGCGCGCTCCCCCTCAAATTAAGTATATTTTGGCGTCAAAGGCGCCTTTAGAAAAATTTGGGTAGGCAGGGAGTCAGATCCTTGAGGAGGGAGGGCGTCCGCTGCCCCAACCCCCATTCCGCCCCTGCATCTGCTTTATATTATCCGGACAAAACGAACAAAGCATGAATGAGAATGCGAATGCGTTTCGCTCAAATGGGTTAGAAATGGGTTAGAAAAAAAGAAAGAAAATGGTCCCAAAATATAAATGACAATAGTATTTATCATATATAACACCTATATAACGGATCCATGGAAACAGTAATTCAGATCAACAGGTCTGCTTAAGGTCTTACTTCTGTATTGAAGATACTTCTAGCTCAGATATGTTTCGACTTTGAGTTATGACCTTTTGGTTATACTCATAGAGTAATTTCAGATAAGGTACACCATCTTATTTTAACCGGATAGATTCGTGCAACTTCTTAGTCTAATACCAATCTTAATCTTACTCTTATATCTCCTAGTCTCAATACATATAGTGTATACTGGTTTTCGCATAGAAGTTCGTGGAGTTTTATCCAGAAAGAGGACAACTGTAGTCTAAGATTTATTCAAATTGTTCTGGTGCTGAAACAACAAGTAGTTTCAACACTTACAAATAAGTGTCAATGTTAGTGATGGAGTATGATTTGTTAGTAGTAATATTTTATAAAGATAGCGAATTATATTTATATCCAATTATAAATACTAGTTTAGAAATGGTTCCACCCATCCGAGGTTTAGAGAGTTTTTAGTTTTTATTGTAGTGAAGGACGGGTGATGTAAGTTTCCTCGTTTCTTCTGAACAGCAGCGACTTGTGAGCAGCGACTTCTTTGAAGAGGAGAGAGATGTATTTGTTCGTGTTAGATGGAAGAGATTGTTTCAAGGTGGGTCTCTTTGATCGTGGGTAGTCTTGGGTGATTGTGTCAAGACTTCTGATCGATGCAAAGATGTATCAATTTCGTTCAGTTTTAGAGCGAGACTACGTGCAGGGTGAAGTTTGACTTATCTGTGTAAACTAAGAAAATGCAATATGAAAAGGCAAATAAACCTTAAACTAGTAATACATCTAGTGTGTTCACCGTTGAGGATAGTGACTAGTTAAAACTAAGAAAATGCAACATGAAAAGGCAAATAAATCTTAAGCTAGTGACACATCTAGTGGGTTCACCGGTGAGGATAGTGACTAGTTAAAACTAAGAAAATGCAATATGAAACGGCTAATAAATCTTAAACTAGTAATACATCTAATGTGTTCACCGGTGAGGATAGTGACCAGTTAAAACTAAGAAAATGCAATATGAAACGGCTAATAAATCTTAAACTAGTAAAACATCTGGTGTGTTCACCAGTGAGAATAGTGACTAGTTAAAACTAAGAAAACGCGATATGAAAAGACAAACAAATCCTAAACTAGTATTGATCTAGTGGGTTCACCGGTGAGGATAGTGACTAGTTAAAACTAAGAAAATGCAACATGAAAAGGCAAATAAATCTTAAGCTAGTGACACATCTAGTGGGTTCACCGGTGAGGATAGTGACTAGTTAAAACTAAGAAAATGCAATATGAAACGGCTAATAAATCTTAAACTAGTAATACATCTAATGTGTTCACCGGTGAGGATAGTGACCAGTTAAAACTAAGAAAATGCAATATGAAACGGCTAATAAATCTTAAACTAGTAAAACATCTGGTGTGTTCACCAGTGAGAATAGTGACTAGTTAAAACTAAGAAAACGCGATATGAAAAGGCAAACAAATCCTAAACTAGTATTGATCTAGTGGGTTCACCGGTGAGGATAGTGACTAGTTAAAACTAAGAAAATGCAATATGAAAAGGCAAATAAATCTTAAGCTAGTAATACATCTAGAGTGTTCACCGGTGAGGATAGTGACTAGTTAAAACTAAAAAAATGCAATATGAAACGGCGAATAAATCTTAAACTAGTAATACATCTTGTGGGTTCACCGGTGAGGATAGTGACTAGTTAAACCTAAGCAAATGCAATATGAAACGGCTAATAAACCTTAAACTAGTAAAACATCTAGTGTGTTCACCGGTGAGGATAGTGATTAGTTAAAACTAAGAAAATGCAATATAAAACGGCTAATAAATCCTAAACTAGTATTGATCTAGTGGGTTCACCGGTGAGGATAGTGACTAGTTAAAACTAAGAAAATGCAATATGAAAAGGCAAATAAATCTTAAGCTAGTAATACATCTAGAGTGTTCACCGGTTAGGATAGTGACTAGTTAAAACTAAAAAAATGCAATATGAAACGGCGAATAAATCTTAAACTAGTAATACATCTTGTGGGTTCACTGGTGAGGATAGTGACTAGTTAAACCTAAGCAAATGCAATATGAAACGGCTAATAAACCTTAAACTAGTAAAACATCTAGTGTGTTCACCGGTGAGGATAGTGATTAGTTAAAACTAAGAAAATGCAATATAAAACGGCTAATAAATCTTAAACTAGTAAAACATCTAGTTTGTTCACCGGTGAGGATAGTAACTAGTTAAAACTAAGAAAATGCGATATGAAACGGCTAATAAATCTTAAACTAGCAATACATCTAGTGTGTTCACCGGTGAGGATAGTGACTAGTTAAAACTAAGAAAATGCAACATGAAAAGGCAAATAATTCTTAAACTAGTAATACATCTAGTGGGTTCACCGGTGAGGATAGTGACTAGTTAAAACTAAGAAAATGCAACATGAAAGAGCAAATAAATCTTAAACTAGTAATACATCTAGTGGGTTCACCGGTGAGGATAGTGAATAGTTAAAACTAAGAAAATGCAATATAAAACGGCTAATAAATCTTAAACTAGTAAAACATCTAGTTTGTTCACCGGTGAGGATAGTAACTAGTTAAAACTAAGAAAATGCGATATGAAACGGCTAATAAATCTTAAACTAGTAATACATCTAGTGGGTTCACCGGTGAGGATAGTGACTAGTTAAAACTAAGAAAATTCAACATGAAAAAGCAAATAAATCTTAAACTAATTATACATCTAGTGGGTTCACCGGTGAGGATAGTGACTAGTTAAAACTAAGAAAATGCAATATGAAACGGCTATTAAATCTTAAACTAGTAATATATCTAGTGTGTGCACCGTTGAGGATAGTGACTAACTAAAACAAAAAAAATGCAACATGAAAAGACAAATAAATTTTAAACTAGTAATACATCTAGTGTTCACCGGTGAGGATAGTGACTAGTTAAAACTAAGAAAATGCAACATGAAAAGGCAAATAAATCTTAAACTAGTAATACATCTAGTGGGTTCACCGGTGAGGATAGTGACTAGTTAAAACTAAGCAAATGCAACATGAAAAGGCAAATAAATCTTAAACTAGTAATACATCTTTAGGGTTCACCGGTGAGGATAGTGACTAGTTAAAACTAAGCAAATGCAACATGAAAAGGCAAATAAATCTTAAACTAGTAATACATCTTGTGGGTTCACCGGTGAGGATAGTGACTAGTTAAAACTAAGAAAATGCAATATGAAACGGCTAATAAATCTTAAACTAGTAATATATCTAGTGTGTTCACCGGTGAGGATAGTGACTAACTAAAACTAAAAAAATGCAACATGTAAAGGCAAATAAATCTTAAACTAGTAATACATCTTGTGGGTTCACCGGTGAGGATAGTGACTAGTTAAAACTAAGCAAATGCAACATGAAAAGGCAAATAAATCTTAAACTAGTAATACATCTTGTGGGTTCACCGGTGAGGATAGTGACTAGTTAAAACTAAGCAAATGCAACATGAAAAGGCAAATAAATCTTAAACTAGTAATACATCTAGTGGGTTCACCGGTGAGGATAGTGACTAGTTAAAACTAAGAAAATGCAATATGAAACGGCTAATAAATCTTAAACTAGTAATATATCTAGTGTGTTCACCGGTGAGGATAGTGACTAACTAAAACTAAGCAAATGCAACATGAAAAGGCAAATAAATCTTAAACTAGTAATACATCTTGTGGGTTCACCGGTGAGGATAGTGACTAGTTAAAACTAAGAAAATGCAATATGAAACGGCTAATAAATCTTAAACTAGTAATATATCTAGTGTGTTCACCGGTGAGGATAGTGACTAACTAAAACTAAAAAAATGCAACATGAAAAGGCAAATAAATCTTAAACTAGTAATACATCTTGTGGGTTCACCGGTGAGGATAGTGACTAGTTAAAACTAAGCAAATGCAACATGAAAAGGCAAATAAATCTTAAACTAGTAATATATCTAGTGGGTTCACCGGTGAGGATAGTGACTAGTTAAAACTAAGAAAATGCAATATGAAACGGCTAATAAATCTTAAACTAGTAATATATCTAGTGTGTTCACCGGTGAGGATAGTGACTAACTAAAACTAAAAAAATGCAACATGAAAAGGCAAATAAATCTTAAACTAGTAATACATCTTGTGGGTTCACCGGTGAGGATAGTGACTAGTTAAAACTAAGCAAATGCAACATGAAAAGGCAAATAAA